TAGTCAGTATCACACTATGAAGAAAATATAGCCTCTCTTCACAGAGCACTTATATAACCAACCCTCATACCATGAAAACAGTAAACATCAAAAACTTAGCAAAACAGTAGATGAATAATATTTAACTATGATGGGATATTTGTACAGCCTAGGATATAATCACAGAGTAAATGATTTCTCTTTCATTAAGGCATGAGGGGAAGAGAGGGCAAGAACTCTGCAGTAACATTCAACCTGAATGTTAGTCACTTTGCAATGAACTCCACGCTGATGTATAAAACACTTTGAACTTTAGCAAGGAGAAAGCAACATTCCTGGGAAGTTGACCAGGCATATCCACACATTGTGCCCTTGTGAGGAACACTTCTTCAGCATTTGCATTCATGTGTAAAGAGTGAGACAAACAAATCAGTAGGCTTTTGTTGGAAAATACAATTAGTGGAGACTCATGATGTTAAGTCAGCAACTCTAGACAGGCTGAGAATTCCTAACAGGCATCAGCCCTGACCAAGGGCTTCCAGGCCTGTGCCAGGAGTGTCTGCCTTCTTTCAGAACCTCAGCACAGATGTTTCTTGTACCTCAGCTAGTACTGACAGATGTGTCAAGCAAGGAGGAGATAAAGACAATTCAATTTTTTTTATTTTTCACGAATATTTTACCTAGAGCATATCCTATATCTTTGCTGTAGGTAATATATTTGAGGCCACCTGGATTCCTCCTTTGAAAAGTAAGATCTGTGGGAATTCAAAAGCTCAAGTGTATTAATTTTAAATAATTAATATGGAAAGTAGGATAAGTGGGGCCCTAAAATATGTATTAGCTAACTGTGCTTCCCCCTGTGATAATTACTATTTCGTCTCCACAAGCAATAGATTTCAAATGTAGGAAATTAATGAAATGCATGGCATTGAGAATTATGTGGAAAAGAGTCATCATAGACCCAGTGAGTAATTCAATTCTTATTTCTGATTTATGATAAGGAATGGAATCTGTTTATATCAAAGTTCACTTGTCCTTCTGGTACTAAATACTGCTCAAGCCACTGTGAACAACACTTTGTCCTGTATGGCAGGACTCTGGGATGGAGTTCAAAGTGTTTCACACTTCACTTGCTGATCTAAGAGTTCTGTAAATTGGTAGAGATGGAGTCAATATTATGTGGAAACAGAGGTGCCCTCACAGAAAGGATACAGTATCTATTCCTGCTGACAGAACAAGTGCCTGAAAATAGCCAAACCATCCAGAGGGCTGGCTGGAACAAAGCTATCGTCCAAAATAGGCATCTGGTTTTACAAGATCCTTTGAACTTGCATTTCTACCCCCTCACTTTTTTCCTATGTACCAGAGTCCTCCCACCTCCTGTCCCTACCACTCACTTCCTCAAAACGAACTTCCTGCTCTGGCTCTCACCATGTTAGTCTCTAAAAACTTACTCAAAACACATAAGTCCAGGTACCTGGCTAAGGTTTTGAGGCTCAGCATAATCCAGCTCTACTTCTCAGCAGGCACCAAGCCTGCCCTTTGCTCAGGCCCTGTGCTCAGCCTGAAATACCATCCCCACTCTGATTAGGTCCTAAGCAAACATTTTTTACAAGTGAATGGATTCAAGACCTACCCATTTTCAAGGCCAAGTTCAAAGTTTAAACATACTCAAATCCTTTCCTTACCAAAGCACAGTCTGGAAGTGTCACCCTATCCTCTGAATTTCAAGTATCATTTATGTAATCAATTAGTTATATTTAGTACCTGCTGGAGGCAGAAACTGAGGCTCAACCCAAATTAGATACTGTCCTGTATTCACAGAGCCCATAATGCAGTGGAGAGAGTTGCAAACGTAACTACCAAACAAGGGCATGGGTGCTGGAATATTGAAAACTAAATGTCTTGTATAGAGACAAACTCACTGATACAGAGAAAAAAATGATGCTCACCAGATGGGAGGGATGTGGGGTGATGGGTGAAAAAGGTGAAAGAAATCAAGTACAAATTGCCAGTTATAAAAATAGTCACAGGGATATAAAGTACAGCATAGGGAATACAGTCAATAATATTGTAATAAATATGTATGGTGCCAGATGGATACTAGATTTATCGGGGTGATCATTTGTAAGCTATATAAATGTCTAATCACTATGTTGTACACCTGAAGCTAATATAATACTGCATGACAACCCTAATTGAAAAAGAAAAAAAGTAAATGTTATTGTCACACATATTTATTGATCTCCCACTAGGTTCCAAGCACCCACTTTGGTACCTTTTATGAGTTCTCATCTAATCCTAATGGTTCATTTTACAAGGGAAAAAAAGACTCTGAAAAGTTAAGTTGGTTTCCCATGTCTATTTGGATAAGCAACAGAGCCTGGATTCAAACCCAGTTAAGTCTGGGCTCCTTCCACAGTCTCCCCAGCCCCTCAACCATGAGGGATATGCTGTGCTAGAAAACTCAAGCAGTTAGTCTGGGAGGAGGAAGGCGTGCAAAGCAAAAGAAAAGAGTACAGGTGAGTTCAGGAATGGTGAATGATTATCAACACCCAGAGAACAGGTATATGTTGAAAGGACAAAAAAGTTTAGACTGTATTGCTTCAGACTCAGTCCTACAGATTACAGAGGTACTTTGGTGTTTATGTCTGTGAGGCTTGGACTCTCAGAAGCTGGTGGTCATCTCAAACCAAAAGCAAATCTTCCCTAGGTGTCATTGAGTAAGTTAGCAGGTGTCGTCTTTCCTGCTTACAAAACTCTTTGCCACTTCCCTGGGGTCATGCCCCTCACAAAGCTGTCTGAAGATCATCAGAATACACTTTAGTTGTGCAAGGCACGAAGTGCATTCTCCCACCTAATCCTCATAACACTAAAAACTAGTTTCTATTATGACTGTTCTACTGAGTAGGAAATAGGTATGTAGAGAGGAAGAATATGCCTGTTCTGGAATTCAGGTTTCCATTTCCAATACCCATGCTCTTAATCACTTAGCCATGATACCAACCAGGCAGAAATGAAAGAAATCTGGGCAGTCCCTCATGAAGGACCAAGGTGAGGAGCTGCTGAGATCTTGAAGAAAATGTGTCTAGCTTTAACTTGCTACTCTCATCAAATTCCTATTTGATGCAACAAATGTGATAATCATTTAAAACCAAGATGTAAAACAGAGACACCCATTGCAACATCATCAGACTCAGGACCTCAGATAAGCTGAGAGAATATCGAAATTCTTCAACCTCCTCACCTTCAGAGCAGCTTACCAAAACATACTGATTCTATCCTTGCAGCTCCCTCCCTGCCACACCAACTTCCATTTACCCAAATGTGTAAGCATCTACTCTTGCCAGGTGTTGTTCTAGGAGCTGGGATTACAGCAAGTAACAACAAAGAACAAGATCCCTGCTCCCTTGAAATGAAACATCTGGCAAAGGTAGCATATAAAAAGTAAACAAGATGATTTCTGATAATAAGGCCACAAATGAAGGATATGGTGGTGGAGTGGAGGGGTAAGCTGATTTTAAATCCCCTTCTGGGGAGCTAATATTTTAATTCATAACCAAATAGCAATAAGGAGCTAGCCTTCAAAGCTCCAGGATTTATTATACTTGGTGGGAAGAAAATAACAATTATGAAGTCTCAACTCCTTATTTACAGATAAGCAAATAGAAGCTCAATGAGGTTAAAAGATGGAACGAGGTCTCCAACTAGCCACAAGTCTGTTTCTCCCACTATTCCACAGAGCCTTTGGATACATACACACATTTGAAATGTAAGCACATTTGTGTTTCTTCTGAAGAACATATTTATAATTTTATTTTCAGAACAGCGCTCAGCAAAAGATGAGAAGCTTTGATAGATGACAAAATTGAGGCTCCAGCTGGCTGACTTGTCTAATAGCCTGTCACTAGCAACTGAATCAAAACCCAGGTTATTTGTATTCCAGCCCCATGTCCTTTGCTCTGGATGAGAAACAGCTAGGTAGCCACTGGTCTATGAACTTACGATATAGTCATTAGCAACTTCACAATGTATGGTGCAAAGAATATGCAAAAGAGTCAACGATAAGACCAGTTTACTTAACCACAACACACAAACTGAAAGTCCCTGAGTTATTTTCTTCAGGAAAGAATGTGTGACTCCAGGTGACTAGACAACCATGACCTGAGACCATCAGCCCCTATGATTTCTGGATAAAAGAATGAGAGCATGTCAGTGCAACAGCAGGGACTATAGCTAAGGAGGAATGTGTTCTCACAGAGCCAGCCAGAATAGGATTCTCCTTAGCCGGTGAGACCTTAGATGAAAGTCATGTTTAAGTCCCTTGATCCCTCAATTTAGGAAAGAATCTACAAGTGATTCCCAAACCCGCCTGCATATGAGACTCATCCAGTTCTTTGTTTAAAAAAAATCAAAGAACTAGACCCAAAGAATTAGAAACTCCAAAGCATAGAGCCTGAAGATCTACATTTTAAAATTCAGCCAGCCTAGAAATCCACTGGTTTTTCTTCATTTCTCACTGCTATAACATGATGAAAAGAGTAGCAATGCCTGTCTGTATTGTCCAGTTACATTAAGTTGTATCCTTTAAGAAAATCTCTAATACTCAAAGCCCTTGCATAGTGGGAAGGTCCTGTGAGTCTCTCCCTGTGACCTGTGAGGTCTGCTGTCTCACTCCCTTTGGCTGTACATCAAACCTCCATGCAACCATGGGAAAGCTTTTGTCTGAGGACTAGTTTACCAACTCCTTTGTGAAGCAGGTCCTCACCTGCAAGTGCTGGGGCATCTCAAGCAGAGAGAATCTAGGAAAATAGCCCACCCCCACCACACAAACATACACACACCCCACCACCACCACCACCATCGCCAAGGAGCCCTGGCTCCTTGCTCGTTCCCCATGAGCCTCTTTTCTGCTCTTGACACCCAGCTATTACTTAGAAGAGGGAAAAGGAAAAGAAAAAAGGTGGTTCAGGCCCAGGTGGCCAGCCCCTCAGTCAGGGGGGCTCAGAGTTAGTTCTTACCTGGATGTGGGAGGAAGAGCCGCTGGGTCCACTCAGCAATTCACTCTCTGCTGGTGAGTTGTTTTCTTGGAACGCAATGGACTTTGAACAAAGATTGATTTAAAAGCTGATGTATTTAACAGGGACACATGGTCTGAGTTCAAATGACCTCTGTCCTGCTTCCTGCCAGCTGGCTGGGCCCTGAGCTGGGCAAACCCAAAGCACTGACCCACTGGTCTCACTGTGCAGGATGCCACTGCTTGCCAGCCTCTCCCAGAGAAGAGGAGGGCAAAGTGGAGGGGAAGACAGCCAGAGAGGAGGTGCCCTGCTTTCTTGGTTCTCTCCCTTGGCAGATGCCTTGGTCACACCCAACTGACATCCAACTGACACCTAATGCCTAGTAACTGACAGCCTCCACTGTCTCCATCCCAAGGTCAGGGCTGAGGGCCACCTGAGCATCCTCATGCACTGAAGTCTTCCTGGGGAGCAGTAACCTGTGCAACCACTGCCAATAAAAGGCCAGGAGGCCAATAAGCCCAGTAAATGCAGCAAAGGCCCTCATGTGCCTTTCTCCTCTGGCAGTGGGAGTTCTCACTCACTGGCTCACTAGGAGCTGAGTAGTAAAGCCCTGGCTTTTATTGCCCAGGCTCCCTTCCTCTTGTTATACACTCTCACCTCTCTTTTTTTTCCCTCTCTCTCACCTGAGAGTGTTGTTTTTACTCCCAATTGTCTCCTTTTCACACTCAATCTCAGACAAACCCAGCCAGGTTGGTGGAAGGCATTGCTACAAGCTCCTCTCAGCCCCAAGCCTCAGCCAGGCCAGCAGCTGATTCCTGTCAGTGGTACCCACACAGGTAAACTCAGCGCCCAGCTTCTCACTGACTTAGATACTCACCCCTACACTGGAAATCAGAGCAAGAGATGGCTCCAGGCAGTGAGGCAAAGTGAACCACTGGCTAAGGAGGGGGTGGCCGCATCCTCCTCCACTCATGGTGAAAGGGCACTGGTATTTACTGGGCCTTGGCTACCCCCAATGAAGGTGTGGCCTGAGCCAGAGGGCAATGGCTCCTTAAACCTTCTGTGCCAGGTGATCTGATAATAAGGCCACAAATGAAGGATATGGTGGTGGAATGGAGGGGTAAGCTGATTTTAAACAATAACAAACATCTGAGCAGCTAATTCAGGTCATCTCTATCTTGTTACTATGCTCCCTGAGCCTCCTGGATATCTTCCAAAGCAAAGGGAAGAATGAGAAAATCTGAATTTAAGATCAGAACACCTGGGTTCAAATTCTGACCCTACCACTTCCCAGGTGTTTGATCTAGAGTAATTCAATTTTAACTCTGAGTCTCACCTTCATCATCTGTAAATAGTTATTACATTGTTTTTGGAAATTTCTTTTTTATATTGAGTCAAAATATCTCACTTCCACCCACAGGTTCTAATGGCTCACTCCAGGCTGCCCTAAGTTCACTCTTTATCCATATAGCAGCCCTTCAAATATTGGAGTGCTTGTACATTCTCCACTAGCCTCATTCCTTAAGGTGGTCTGCCTGTGCCATGACTTCAGGACTTCTCTCCAGCCAATATGTCAACACCCCTCTGAAAATCAAGGACCTTAACAGGAAACTTTAAAGTGAGGAAATTGTTCTGTCTCTTGAGTGTGTGTATAACTATACAATTATCTACAATTAGCAAATTTCACCAATCTGTACCCCTAAAATTGGTGAATTACATTGAAGTAAATTCCATAGCCTTTAAATTAAGAAGCTTAAGTGAGTAAAATTTACTCTTGAAACTTCTAAAAACAAAAAAGTTGTATAAAAAAAATAAAAAAAGGCCTCACAATGGAGCTTATACTTCATCCTCAATCCAGAGACAGAAGTCTCCCTCACCCTCCATCCCAGCTCAGATAGAATAAGTAGCCACAAGCCTTCAGACTGGAAATAAAAAAAGGCCTTGAAATACAGAAATAGTGTTGGTTCATAATTAAATAGAACTTAGCAATTTTTTTAAATGACAAAACCCATTCCTAGTGGAATGTTGAACTAAATGAGATTTGCCCTCCCTACAATTTGGATTTTCAAAAAAACCTCATGCCTATAAGTGGATCTGATGTGATAAGTGCAAAATAGAATAACTATTTTTGCTGTTACTTAGATCCAGGCATTAATGAGAAGAAAAAATAAGATTATCTATTATGTGTCTGGTGAGCCTTTATATCTACTACCCTATGAGATGATAACTCCATTTTAAGATAAGAAAACTTAAATTCATAAGGTTCATTTTTCTGCCCAAGATCACCTGGCACAGAAGGATTAAGGAGCCTGTCTATCTCCTTAGGTAGTGTTGTTTTACCCACCGTCCAGGGAAGGAATGTACACTCCTGTCTTAGAGGTATTCAAATAGAGGTTTGATGATCTGTGTCATGTTACAGAAAGATGTCCTACCTTGTTAGGGAGATTGGAGTAGGTGATTTTGGGGGAGGGTTCCTTCCAACTTGAAGATTCTGTGATCCTAAATACCTTGGATATTAAGGCAACCCTGCCCATGAGGAGGTGTGGTATATCTTGGTGTCTGTGTAGAATGGGCTTTAGCATCCAACAACACTGTTTTGAATCCTAAATTTGCCATTGATAGTTTTGTATTTTTTTTTTTATTGTGAGCTCACATTTGTCTGAGTTTTATCTCTGGAACCCCTTTGCAGCCTGGGTGAAGCGTTTTCTTTGTTTTTGTCAGGCAGCACCTCTCCATACCCCCAAAATGATGAGGAAAGACACTGAGAACCAGGGGCCAATTCATGTTGGTTTCTTGCCTTAGTATTTCTAGATCATGCAAATAACTAATATCAATTACAACCCCAGCCCCTCCTAAAGGGCAGATCTGTGGCTGGAAATTTGCAGGACAGAATTTGTTTTCCCTCCCAGAGTCTAGGTCAACATAGATGATTTCCTCATCATCCCTAATCTGTTTTTCCCTGTTCCATAAACATATCCCCTGATATATTATGTTTATTAAGTATTTTCTGTCTCTCACCCACCAGAATACAAATCCCCCAGGGGCAGAGATTTGTGTTTATTTCCTTACTGTCTCCCAAGTGCCTGGAATATAAGTCTAGCTTATAGCAAGCTTTCAAAAAACGTTACTGGAGACTTCCAGCCAAGATGAAGGCACAGGCAGATACACTTTGCCTCCTCGTACAACCAAAAGAAAGATGATAACAGATTTAAAAACAAAAAGCAACCAGAACTGCCAGGAAATAGAACTGTATGGAAGTCCAACAACCAAGGAGTTAAGGAAGAAACATTCATCTAGACTGGTAGGAGGGGCAGAGATGGGACAGATAGGGCGTCCAGCAAGGCGGCAGCTGGCAGACTAGACAGTCCTATATTTGCATGTGGATAAACAAGGAAGAACAACTGGGGAGCGAGACAGGCCACACAACCCCAGGGTACCAGCGTGAGAAAAGAAAGCCTCGAAAAAAAGAAAAGAAAAAAAAAGAGAAAAGAAAGCCCCATGGGGGGGGGTTGCGGTGGCAGGAGTAACCCCCAACCTCACAAGGGAGTTCATTGGAAAGAACCCACAGGGTCCTAGGAGGTACACAATCCCACCCACCCAGGAATCAGAAACAGAAGGGCCAAATTTACTTGCAGGTAGCAGGGGAAGTGACTCAAAGCAGGGAAAAAGCTGAATAAGCGGCATAGTTTCCTCTCTGACCTCTCCCCTACATACAGCACCACAACGCAGCAACGTGGGTTGCCCAGCCCTGGCCAATACCTAAGGCTCTGCCCATTATAACATAACAGGATTGCTGAGACAAAGAAATATGGCCCAAACAAGAGAACAGATCAAAACTCCAGAAAAAATACAACTAAGCGATGAAGGGGTAACCTACTTATCCGATGCACAGTTCAAAACACTGGTAATCAGGACACTCACAGAAATGGCTGAGTAGGGTCGCAAAATAGAGAAAAAAATGAAGACTATGCAAAAGTGAAATAAAGAAAAATATACAGGGAATCAACAGTGAAAGGAAGGAAACTGGGAATCAAATCAGTGATTTGGAGCAGAAGGAAGAAATAAACATTCAAACAGAATGAAGAAACAAGGATTCAAAAAAATGAGGAGAGGCTTAGAAACCTCTGAGACACCTTTAAACATTCCAACATCCAAATCATAGAAGAGCCAGGAGGAGAAGAGGAAGAGCAAGACATTGAAAACTTATTTGAACAAATAATGAAGGGGAACTTCCCCAATATGGCAAAGGAAATAGACTTCTAGGAAGTCCAGGAAGCTCAGAGAGCCCCAAAGAAGTTGGACCCAAGAAAACACAAACCAAGGCACAGCATAATTAAGTTACTCAAGATTAAAGATAAGGAGAGAACCTGAAAGGCAGCAAGAGAAAAGGAGACAGTTACCTACAAAGGAGTTCTTATAAGACTATCCGCTGATTTCTCAAAAGAAACCTTGCAGGAAAGAAGGGGCTGTAAAGAAGTATTCAAAGAGTCATGAAAGACAAGGTCCTAGCTCCAAGATTACTCTATCCAGCAAAGCCCTCATTTAGAATGGAAGGGAAGATAAAGTGCTTCCCAGATGAGGTAAAGTTCAAGGAGTTCATCATCACCAAGCCCTTATTATATGAAATGTTAAAGGGACTTATCTAAGAAAAAGAAGATCAGAACTATGAACAGTAAAATGACAGCAAACTCACAACTATCAACAACTGAACCCAAAAAAAACAAAAACAAAAACAAAGTAAGCAAGGAGCTAGAACGGGAACAGAATCACAGAAATGGAGATCACATGGAGTGTTATCAGAAAGAAGGGAGAGCAGGGAGAAGGCAGGAAAAGGTACAGGGAATAAGAAGCAGAGATGATAGGTACAAAATAGATGGAGGTGAGAGGTTAAGAATATTATAGGAAATGAAGAAACCAAAGAACTTACATATACAACCCATGAACATGAACTAAGGGGAAGAAATGCTAGTGGAAGGGGGGTGCAGGGCAGAGAGGAATAAAGGGGAGAAAAAAATGGGACAACTGTAATAGCATAATCAATAAAATATACTTTTTAAAAATGTAATTGAATTAATG